AGGGTGTATGTGCTTACGATGTGTGCAATGTTTTAATGGGGTTAATCAAAGAAGAAGTTGTTACTTTGAACGTCATAAATAATAGAAAACCATACTTTCAGTTTGGGGAAACCGAGTTCAGAAATGTTTCACCCACTTTGGACTATGTAAAGCTAAAAAACTTTAACGTAAAAATGACGGCAAGTGAGGCAAAATGTTTTACTCACTTTTTGCCTTTAATGATTGGAGATAATGGGCCTCATGCATAAAAAGTGAGCTTAAGCTCCGACTCGATTTTCAGTACAAATTCTTGAGCTTGAGCTCACCCCTTCAGTGCAAAAATTGAGTCTGAGCTTAAGCTCACTTTTTATGCATAAGGCCCATTGTTCCAATTGAGAACAATCGGAAATTCTAGATTTTTTATGCGAATCGACATACTTGCCCCAAGAACTAACTAAATTACAACATCTTGTAGAATAAGACCATTTACTGCACATTAAATTATATGGAGCGCTAAAGCCCAAACAAATGTGGGAAGGGTTCAATCGATACCACTAAGGTATCACTCTAATGAGTACTTGTACTCAAAAGACTGAAAGTATCGAGACCTACTCAGTATCGGCAAAGTATCGAGTACTTACTTGAATTGTTTTCATTTTCTCTTTCGAGAGATACTTCCCTTTTTTGTTGTAAAAGGTCGTATGATTACGTCTTATCATGGTTTAAAACATTGTATGTCAAAATCAAATAAAAAGGCAATAAAGTTGCAGGTATAGAAAACGTATATATTTAAGTTATTTAGTAAGAATACAAAATAATTATTAATTAATATTTGTGGTACATTAGCAAGGAACAGTATTGGTTATAATTTTTTCAGTCATATGAGTGTATAGGTCAACCAATATGGATAAGTTTCGGATTTTTATTTTTGTTTTTATTTTCAAATTAGTTTTATTAACTTTTTTTTTATAAATAATATAGTTCATTCCATAACAAAAACCTTGTTAATCCAAGTTTAAAACTTTGTACAAAAATTAAAAGCAAATCAACAAAGTTTCGTCAAAGAACGTAAATAATAAGAAGGGACAACTTGTGCCTTCTCTTTTGCGCTAGTACGTTTTCATCAAAATTCCACACTTTTTATTCTGAATAAAAAGTGTTTAATTTTGGTGAAACTTTGATTTTCTTTTAATTTTTGTACAAAATTTGAAACCTGGATTTACGTGGTTTTTGTCATAGAATGAACTATATTTTTTATAAAAAAGTAACTAAAATTAATTTGAAGATAAAAATAAAAATCCGACACTTATCCATAAGGTCACCCCTATAAGTATACAGCGCACTGCATCATTTACAAACTATTTATGAAGAAAAAAATTGTATTGTTTATTTTGGTACATTGCTGAGGAACAATATTAGTTATAATTAATTAAAAATATTTATGGAAAAAATAGCTTTTGGGGCACACTGCCAAGAAACAACAACTTTTCTAAATGCTTTCCAGACAGGCGATTTCTACTTTCTCTACTACATGACCGCACTTTTCGCGAAAACTCTTATAACGGGCGTCATTTGTTGAGTTGCCGTTGCAATGATAAAAGTAATAGAAATTACTCTTTCGGTACCAAGTACTTTTTTTTGATACTTACTCGATACCGAACAAAAAGGTATCGAGTAAAAAAATACTTGGTATCAAATGAAAAGTATCGATTCCTACTTGTGGGGAATGCGTTTTAAGGCAAAACACAAAGAAGCCAAAACATATTTAGGTAATACCACATCCAGACTGAATTCTCCTTATTCACTGACTGTTAAACCTGGATTACAATTTGCCAAATTTTTACTAGACCATGAGAGCGGTGTGGAAAACGAAATTGAATATAATTCCCTTAAAACTATAAATTTAACAAAACCAGACTACTTTTCTGAAATTGTTTACAATGAAAGTATTTATTATAACAATTGCCTAATAATAGAGGAAGTTTTTTATAAAAACACGAAATATAAAACAAACTTTTATTTAGCTTTCCAAAGCGATTTATTCAAACTTTATAAAATACATAACTTTTTATATCAAAACGAAAAGGTATACGTATTATGTTACCAAATCCATATAAAACAAGTAAGAAAGTCTAAGTTCGGGCGGAGCCGAACATTAAATACCCGGCGCAAGTATTAAATATATGTTTTCCACCTTTTCGAAAGCTACCGCTACATGATAAGCCGGCGTGTATAAATTTTTAGTAAACTAGCGTCCTTAAATTTCAAAATATTGAAATTTCAAGCATTTCTGAAATTTACCGTTATATGAAAAGCGGTCGTAATTTTAGTCCGATTTCAACAATTTTCAATGGTTTACTTTTATGTGGCAAGCACAATAACCATACCGAGTTTGGTACAAATTGCTAGAACGTTTAGCGAGATACATATACGTGATCATAAGTGCGCGGTGACACGCCCATTTTCCAAAATTTTATCATAAACGTATTTCCTGGCAAAGAATTGTTGCAACCATCATTATGAATAAATTAACTTTAATATTTACTGATTTATCGAGGATTTCGTATTTCTCGAAATTACCGTTATATGGGATGTGGGCGTGGTTATTGTCCGATTTTAAAAATT